GGGGGGGGGGCACGGGTGGGGTCAGCAGCACGGATTATCGTTACGTTCACCAGGGGCCTCGTTCAAAGCGCGCGGGACGAAAAAGCAGCAAAACGAGGTCGTTCACAGGAGGTCTAAAAACCGGCGGGACGCCTCGCTCCTAAATGTTTGAATACAGCATAAAGACTCCGAACACACAGTGTTAAAGGATTAATAACGGCCGTATAAATAGCTGGGATATAAATACGCATCATCAAAGACAGACACCGGACAGTGAAGCATTATTAGCTAACCGCGAAAAAACGGCTAAAAAAACGGAGAGCTAGCATGGCGTCCGTCCGTTGCTCGGCAACGAGGCGCTGGCCGTTGGGCCTCCGAGTGACAATCTTCACGTCTCAACTTAAAGCTGCCAACTTTAAAGCCACGTCCAGTCGTCACTTTGGCTTTTTTTTTTTTTGGGGGGGGGGGGGACCCCGCCCTCACTGGCAGGTCAGGTCGGGCCTCTGCAGCCAGGCCCAGATCTGGATCATCTCCTGGGGGGTGCGGGGGTGCACCAGCATGAGGCTGCGGTAGGCGCAGGGGTTGGCCCTGTACTTCTCCTCGATGTTGAAGGTCCTGAAGCCCTTGTGCTTGTCGGGGGCCAGCCCCAGCTTGCGCAGGCACATGCCGGTGTAGACGTCGTCGATGGGGTAGAGCGCCACGTGCTGCGACACGTTGTGCAGGCGGGCGGCGATGTCCCCCGAGTACAGGTACCCGCCCCCCCCCGCGTACGGGGGGTAGGCCCCCACGAACAGGCTCTCCGGGATGAAGTACTTGACCTTCTTGTCCCTGTGGGGCCCCGCGTTGGTGATGACGTCCCCCACGAACAGGTCCCGGGCCTTGGGCCCCGGCAGGCCCTTCAGGAAGTCCAGGATCCGGTAGGTGTTGACGAAGACGTCGTCGTCGCCTTTGAAGATGAAGGCGGCGTCCGGGCAGCGGGCCTGGATCCAGTCCAGGAACAGGACCTCCTTGACGGTCAGGTTGAAGAAGGAGTCCCTGAAGTCCCACTGCACGATGTCGCGGTGGCGCAGGCCCTCGTACAGCAGCATCTCGGACAGGTCCGGGTGGTGGTCCACGGCCGTGGCGTTGCCCAGGAGGAACACCGTGACCACCGTGCGGTTGGCGATGGCGCCCGCCCGGCCCCAGGACTGGCGGATGGCCTGGCGCCGGTCGAAGTGCGGCGCCAGGGACTTGACGGCCAGCAGCAGGAAGGGCGGGTCCCGGCACAGCTCCGGCTGGTCCACCACCACCGGGTAGGACCGGCACCGCATGTACAGCAGGAAGTCCTTGAAGCGGTCGGGCAGCGAGTTGTAGTCCTTCACCTGGGTGGTCACCCGCAGGTTGGGCTGGCAGGGGTCGGGGGCGGAGCTGCTGCCGTTCAGCCAATCGGGCGCGGCGGCGCCGCTGTCGTTGGCGGCCAGGATGGCGTTGTTCCTGTAGTCCAGGACCTGCTGCTGCCGGTTCCAGAAGGCCTGGCTGGGGAGCAGCTTGGCCCAGAAGGGTTTGGAGGGGACGAGCGGCTGGCGGCGCCCGTTCTTGCCCTGGCCGCCGCTCCGGGACACCAGGATGAAGATGAAGAGGTTCACCATGGTAACCGACACCACCAGCTTCAGCCTCCTCCGCAGCAGCGCCATGACACCACCTGAGCGGACACAGAAAAGGCAGAGGTGAATCAATCACGCCAAACTGAGACAGGAAACCGAAATTGACTCATTTGATGGCTCAGTCTGTTAGTTTAATCACATATTCTTTGGGTCAGATAAGGGTGTTAGTCATCTTTATCTTGCTGGTCATTAAAGTTGTGAAGAAGAGTTTGTTTTTAAATAGATAAAAGGGGGAGGTTTTAGTCTGCCTCGGGCTCCACGCCTCTCCGGATGGGAGTCTATTTGGCTTTTGGCCAAATGCTGAGGGCTCAAACCTATTTGCGATTATCAAAATCCCCACAGTCTGTAACGGGAAAGGCGGAGACATGATGGCAAACCACAGACAGGCTGAACCTTCCCTCTCTCTGTGTCTCTCATGGCCTGGTTGCGCTTCAAGCTTTGAAAAAGTGGAAAACGTGAAGCATTTGCTCCAAAACGAGCCAACAGGCACGAGGTCGAGCTCTGCCACAACATCTGGGCGAAGTTAGGAGCCATTTACAGGAAATAGTTGTTACATTTCAGTCCATTTCAGTCGAAAACCCAAGAACCGCTATCTGCCATGTTTTTAATTGAATTAAACATGAGGAGGGTCTGAGGGGCTCATCAGAGGCTTGGTAAGCTTTGGGGATCGACCCTTAAAAACAGCTATTTGTTAGTCGATGTGAAGTCTTTAGAAAGTCTAAACAAACCAAGTTGTAAAAGCGCTGTTTGATGTGGGTGAGACGGAGCAGGTTTTCTGGCTGCTGTTACCAGCTGCGTGCAGCAGAGAGCAACAGAAACCTGCCGGTGGCCCCGCCCTGCTCTCAGCCTCCGGACCCACTGAGCAGACCCGTAACCCGGCGGCTGCAGGCTCCTCAGCCTCCTCCGCATCACGCCCGTTTCCTTCCCGTCTCCTAGCAACTGCTGCGCTGCTGTTTGCTCTCCGTTTAAACCACCTTTGCTCTGGTCCCCGTCTTCCTCTGAAGGGCCCAAAGCTGACAGCAGATGCAGACGGGTGGTTATGTCGTGCATTACTAAGAGACGGGAGCAGACTTTGGTTTTCTTCTTTTTAGCCCCCCCTCCGCCCTTTTCTGTCTTTTTCTCATGGATAATTAAGCTTTCCTGTGGAGTGCATCCCACCCAGGGGAATGGGTGGGAGGGAAACTGGACTGTACAGAAGAATGCTACACAACATGAGCCCGCTGCTCCTGGATTATCAACACAACACAGCAGACACACAGCCGAGGAGACCCTCTTTAAAACGGATTTACACAAAATACACAACAAGCGTCACATATAAATGTGGAGTCCAACTTGGTGCTGTTTATGGGCAAACATTGGAGCAAGGAAAGGCTTAAAATGGGCATAAAGAAAACCTTTTTAAAGTAAAAAAAACAGAAATAAAGCAACACAAAATTTAGCCTGCGAATCATCTGTGTGTGACGATTTAACCAAAGGACGACGCAACAAGCAGAATCCTGGTCAGAGCTTTATAAAGTCAGTCTGTGGTTAAAGAAATGGACTAACAAGATGCTGAGAGAGCCGATCACATGACTAAGAGAGGACAGATGAGGTTAGAGGGAGCGCTGACAGAGACACTGGACAGTGAATTATTGGTGAATTGTCTCATTGACTATCTATACGACGTCTGACCTTTCCCATCTTAGTTTGGGCTTCTCATGTTTGCACAACATTTGAAATCAAAACACAATCGTTGCCAGTAAACTGTTTTCTTTAGACCTCCTTAGGCCAAAATAATCAGTAAACAAAAAGAAAAAGGAGGGGAACGTCTTTAAGTAGCCTGTCGTGGCTTATTAATAGTAGTGGAAGCAGCAGATGGGTCTCATCTGTATAAACGTATTTATGTAACAGCTTAAAGTTTTGTCTTGTTTAAGGTGTGTTTTCAGGTTTGTTTTATCCATCAAGTCGTGTCTAGACGTGTCAAAGCAAATGCAGTTAGCTTAAACCACATGCACAGTCATGCTGGAAAACCATTCCTCCCTTTCTCAAGCTAATCGTATTCAATGTGACTTTATGAGCAGCTTTTTCTGTTTCTTTAGCTCAGATTTTTGTCAAAATAAAGAAGAGAAAAGAGAACATGACTCAGCGTTTAATGCAGGCTTACTTATTGGTTTAAGATCGACTGAAGGACTAGCTGCCATACAGGAGGGGGGGCGGCTTTAAAAATGTTTACAGACAGTAAGAACAAGATGATTTGCCTTTATATTTTTTGGTGCATACACACAAAACCTAAGAACTGAAAGTGCTTTTGTGTCTTTTTCAACACGTGAAAAGTTTCCCATTCATGCTCCGTTTACGTTCCCTAAGCCGGCCAACACGGCCTGTCCCCCTGAGTTTCTACACTAAGCGGCTCTGTCCAGTGGTTTTTGTCCCAAAACAGGAGAAACAGGGATCATGTACCAGGCGGACCACCGGAAACACAGCGGACAATGGCGAGCTGTGTTTGAACACCTGATGAAAGGCTCTTTCAGGTAAGGCATCTCCCCCCTGTGGGGGATGGGCCTGAGGCGGCCGGGAACAATGGCAGGTTAAAGGCTCGTTTGAGAAGCACTGAGCAAATCCAAACAAGTTTCATGATTGGGTCTGAGTTCAAACACCAGGAAATGAGCTTATTTTGGATGGTTTCTTGTTCTGAACTGAATCCTCTTGCTACATTTATACTTTAGGCTTACAAATGACTTTAAAAACTACTTTAATACTAACAAATGTCAGTGTTAAATATGACAAAGAGCATGTCTTTAACTTGGGAGCTGAAGTCATGTCAGTGAGCCCCCTGGTGGAGGGATGCCCTTACCTGTGCAGGTGAGTGGGCCTCTGCAGCTTCTGTTGTCTTGGTGTCTGGTCTCAGCTCTCTTACCCCATGCTTATATCCACCCTCTGGGGACAGCAGCCAATGGGGAGCAGCGGTTGGGAAGGAAGGCGGCAGGGAGCGGAGGAGAGTTTCACCTGAAAACAGACCAAACACCTTATAGAAACTGACTGGGCGTCCCTGAGAACAGGAGGGAAAGCGCAAACACTTGATGGATTAAAACTGGATAACGCTCTGCAACACTTCTGGATGGATGTTACCAAAAGACTTCATCCCAGCCGAGCTCTCTCTCTCTTTCTTTTACAGCACACAGAAAGGGAAACAACCATGTTTGCCATCCTGATCCTCTCATCTTCCAGCCTTTGACTGTTGGTTTGGGTCAAAGGGAATTGGTTTAAACAGTTTAAAAGTGTTTTTTTAAAAAGGCCAGTAAAGCACAATTCTACGAGGCCATCACACAGAGTTTCTGTAGCTGCTTCCTTCTATAAAAATGGCTGGAGGAGCACTTGGGTGACTCGGTGAAAGGCTCTCGGGAGGATCCCGATCACAGTCTGAGTCATTACCGTCCCCACAGGTTCAGCTTCGCTCATCCGAGTGCTCGTGTGTGAAACTGCCATCTTACTGAAGACTGAAAAGCAGCGTGGGTGGATCCGCTTGTTGCTTTCTAAGTGTGGCACTCGGGAGGTTTTCAATCAACCAGTTTAATTTATGAAAGATGTTTAAAGAGGGACTGTACACAGAATAACAGGATATACTTATCTGTTACCCTGTTAAAAAAAGATGAATAATCAACCTGACACCTTCACATTCAAAGATAATATAATATAGCAAATAATGCATGCTCAGTTTTTGTGACTGCAAATGTCTGATGCACATTTCTAACTGGCCCCATCAATGCCACTATCGAGCCCTCATTAAGGGTCATCCATCAGTATAAATAATGAAACTTCCTCAAATGGGGAACCACAGTAAGGTAAAATGACTGTGGAATTAAACTGAACGCTGAAAGATCAGACGGCTCAGAATCAGTGTGAGCAGTCAGTGCTGAAAGGAAATCACACACAGGCGTCCTCCTGTTTACGGAGGGAGCTTCACTCCATTACACTAAAGGCCGTCCCATCCATCAGGCTTTTGGTAGCTTCCTATTCAGTCAGAGAGCATCGCTCTCCATTTAAAATGCAACCCACCGAAAGCATCTCGGTAAGATTAAGATTGTTCTCATCCCAGACTGTGGCACCGTCCGGCCCCGAGTCTCTGCGTGGCGTTTAGTGCTTGTATTAGCATCCATCATTAGAGGCAAACTCAATCAGCTCTGTCAAAGCTATTCTCAGGGGCAGGGAGATTGCTCCAATCGTCGGTCTTAATTGTGGAAAATCGGTTTGTCTGCCTTTCCTGTACGGCAAAAATCAATCTGTGGAGAGGTTCTGGAGTCTGGTCGCTCCTCGTGTGGACAAACATCCTGAGTGAGTGTTCAGCAGCGGACATTGATCCGCTCTGTGTTTTCTCTGCCTCACTGAGGGGAAACCTACCTGCCCCTATTTGTTTGTTTACAGAATTTGAGCCCTTCTTTGTGATTTTCCATCCTCTGGCTTGCACTTCTCAAAGCTGAACCTCTTGCTCATTCAGGCATGTCCGTGCATGTGTGTTTGCTCTTCTTCTGCTCCTTTAATGCAGGGAAATGAGGGATCCTAATGTGCTTCTTGGCACTAACAAACTTCTGTGAGGCATTACCAGAACACCCCCACCCCTTGCAAAGTGACTGAATGTTAATGTGAGATAATGTGTTATCCATTTCGGCCTACACCGGATACCGCAGCTCCACTCTGGCGGATCGCACCTAAAACACCACAAATGCAAAGTTTCTTTCTCTTTTTGTGGTAAGATTACGAAATGAGGACACTTCAGACTATTTAAGACAGTTGGCTGCCTTGGCGTCAATGTAAACGAGACATCAGCCAAACGCAAAGGTCACAATCATTAACAGTGTACACATTATGCTGGTGAGCTCCTATCTAAAGGGGACTACACACCCGGTGTCCGTTTGTCCGGCTACAATCTTGGCTCTGAAAACTTGCCTTTCATTTACAAGTGACAACTGAAACATAAGCAACATGAACGTAACCAAAAAGTCAAAAGAACCTGACGTGTTCAGCTTTTACCAAATAAACTGATGGACCAGACCATCCCACTAATGGCTGCATGGGGTTAATCAATAAGCCACTGGCTGTGCTGCTTAGATACGAGGGGCCTGCTGATAACAATGGCACGTCCCTTTTGCTGCTCTGAGATACCAGCTCACAGATTTCCAAACACCCACAGCAGCGTGGACAGAGGAAATAGCAGGCCGCCGTAAAGGACTCGCTCTCTACGACGAGCCTGGTTACATAAAGGTTAAACAGAAAGTTAAATCAAGGAGGAAAACAATGAAAGGCTCTTTCATTAGGGTGTTTGGGTTTGTTTCACAAATGTTCCACCTTTCCTTCCGGCCTTCTATACCGACACATTGGCCATTGTTTTAGTCGGAGCACTTTTACTTGCCGTGGTAAACCCACCGTTAAAAGTTAAAGCCTGCTCACACAGAATAAACAGCTTTGAGCGACAATAAGAGATTAACAGGAAGGAGTGAGTCCATCTGTAACCGTTAGGACAGGGAACAGCAGGTCTGCTCATTTTCTCAGCTTAAATGGCAAAGAAATGCTGCACGTTGAAGCTCCTGCAGAAAAAAAACATTTTTTTTCTACATGGAGATAAAGACTCAGACAGAGGGGTATCAGGAACTACTGGGCCTGCAGTGGATCTTCCTCACTGGCTCAGCCTCCACCCTCCCAGTTATTTTCCATATGATAAAGAACATCTCGCTGCCACCTCTGCAGTGAAAAAGCAGCATCAGCAACTTAAACTGCCAAAGGTTACCTTCGGTCAGGCTCACCTTAACTGGGATCCGAGTTCATAACAGAGCGGAGCTCAGGAATCTGGACCGGCCTTCTCAGAGGGCTGGATATCAAACGCAAAGACGGGGTGAGGAGAGAAAGCTGAAGCTTTCCGAGCGAAACGCTGGTCTGCAGCCTCAGGATGTTGTGACACCGTACGTCCTGCTGTGACTCTGTAATTCAGCCATCATTATCTAATCTTTCAGAGTTAGTGAAGTTTCCCATTATCTTTGGTGCCCACAATTATTGCCGTATTGCAGCAATAGCTCTTTCGAAAGCCGCTGATGCCAAAGAGAACAACAGCAGGGTTCGGCCGCAGAGCCAGGGCTGATACTGAAGCCTGCTGGGAGCCAGAGATAAGAGGCACAGCGGACAGCCAGCGTCCGGGGTCACAGCAGGTCAGCGGCCAAAGTTAGGCTGCACCCGAAAAGCTCGATATGGGTTCAGTCGGTTCTGCTGCGCGGGTTCGGAGGCCTTTGGCTCGGGCCTGAGGTAGCAGGTTACCTCCACCCTCTGCATCCACGTCCTAGTCTCAGGTCAGTTTCAGTAAGTGAAACGTGCAAGAATCCTCAGACCAACATGAGGCACATTTTAAAACGGACAGACAGAGAGGAGATTAAAACACGGGCAGGAACAGATCAAATGCTAAAATGAGAACAGGATTCAGCTAGGAAGTTTGATGGGGTTTTGGCCGTTGCAGGACGGGCAGGAAGGAAGAGGAAAGAACACGTGTTTGAATGTTCAAAGACACGAAGACACAGAGACAAAAACCTTGTCTATATCTGTGCTGCTATTATCTCAGCCCGATTCAGCCTCATCAGTCTCTCACAAAGACAAATAAACATTTTTCCTCTATCCAAAGCAATTCAAAAGAGATTTAAATTACCGGTAGTTGAATAATGGCTCGTCCAGCCTGTTCAACACTTTATACATTTAACTCTTTAACCAAATTTCTGAGGTCGGTTACTGAAGTGTGTAGAGACTTTCAATGCGCTTTAGATTATTTTTTTCACAAAACACTATTTTGGTGCTCTGTAAATAAACAAATTGAATCAAACTTCCTGTTGACTCACACGTGACAACGAGTGCAGAAGGGCTCCGGCTTTCGCTTCGCTGCAATAACATTAGCACTTTAACAAAAATATGACAAATTAGACTGTTAACGACTGGGGAGAAAAGGACAGCCTCTAATAGAACCCCGTTATCCTGAGCCACCGAGGTAAATAATGGCCTCGGCTTTAAATTTGAGGTAATAGGATGGCTGTTCCCATCCACTGCAGGTCCGCAGCTATTATGGGCAGGTTCAGAGAGATTAGCTGGAGAAAATGGCGGCGATTTGTGGCAACAGAGGGCAAAAGGAAAAAAAAATCTAAATGGACAAATGAATTGTTTGCTTTGTACAGTAATGGCCATTTGTGCCACTGCCATTACTGTACTGTAATAGTTTTTTTCTTTTATTTCTTTCATTTCACAATTTTCTTAATTAGAATCAGAAATATCTATATAAATGATATTGTTAATTAAAGGAGTGACTACTTTAGTGATCAATAAAATATGTAATGGTTCACAAAAGAGCACTGAACTCACTTGGTCCTTCAGATGTTTGTAATCTGAATATGTAAAGCCATTTGATGGGATATGTTGTCTTTAGCTTAACAGACAAGATTAATGTTTGACAGGGTTAATAAATGACTTAAATGACTGCAAGTACTAAACAGCACTGTACAACTCGGACTAAGTGGAGCTTCGGGTTAAATGCTCCACAAATGGCCAATGAATGCATACAAAATTAACCCTTGGTCATGAAAACAAAGCGGGATTCTTGATGTTTTGCCACATGGAGATTTTTTTACATGATTAGAAAAGACCCTTTCCTTTTCTGACCGCTAAAGTAATCCGAATGACAGTGTATGGTTGTCCCTTTAAGCACCTTCTCCCTGTGTTGGGCTGTTACTGCTCCCGCTCCCTGACTCATGTAGACTTTAACTAGCAACGAGGTGTTTATGAGGACGGCTCGACAAACGTCAGGAGAATATATGAGGATGTCGCTGTAAATGAGAAGGACGGCCGACTGGCGATGCGGTGCAAAGAGGAGAGTGCCAGGAATAGCCCGAGGGCCGCGGCGGGGAGAGGCCCCCCTGTGCTGGAGTCTGCCCACTAAATATCGACGGTCATCAACAGGATTCACAGAGGAGCTGCAACTGACC